GGGAGTTCTGTGACCTCTGGGAGTGCTCGGATCGGAAGGTCATCAACAGAGAGACAGGAAGGGAAACAGGGCTTTTCATAGAGAAGCAGATGGTGGGGGTCCGGGGGTTACTCCAGTTAGTCCATCAGTTAGAGACACCAGGCCACGTTGATCCAGCAGGGCTACCATGTGACTGCCTGGCACAGATCATTTTGCAGCTACTTGGATTGTTTTGGCCATTTTTAGCCTTAACGTCAGACAATCACTGAAGTTCACAAAGTGAATATTGTGACTTAGGACATTTCCTCTCATTTCTTGGGGCCAAAATCAAACGAAAAATTTTGCCCTTTGCCTGGGATTTTAAAAAAATCAGTGATGGGGCGAATTGTGTGCTCCTCCCGTTCTATATCGAACCCGAAGCCCCCAGCACCCTAGAACGTGGCTGTATTTGGAGCTGGGGCTTTCCAGGAGGTAACCAAGTTCAAGGGAGGCTTGAAGGTGGGCCCTAATCCAGTCTGGCTGGCGTCCTTCGAAGAAGAGGAGGTTAGGACCCGCACAGAGACGCCGGGGATGCGCCCACGGGGGGCACCTGAGAAGGCGGCTACCTGCAAGCCAAGGGGAGAGACCTCAGAGGAAAAGGAACCTGCCAACACCCTGATCACCCTGGACTCCCAGCCTCCAGAACCGAGAGGAAAGACGTTTCTGTCGTGCAAGCCACCCCGTCTGGGGCGCTTTGTTACAGCAGCGGGAGCAGACTCGGCCGGGCCCCTGGGGTCAGCGTGGGTGCGCTGGAGGGGACGCGTCTGGGGGGTGGACACCTGCTGCCTAGCGGAGGGGCTGAGGCCCTGGCCGCACCCCAGCTCGGCGGCCCTCACGTGGGTGGGAGCAGGGCCCCGGGGTCAGGGTGGAGGGAGAATGGAGCCCGGGCTGAGGGTTAGCAGCAGGACGGGAAGAAGCAGGCGGCACACTCCCGGACAGTCCGTGGGGAGCCAACCCAGGATCCGGGGGGCCGGGGCCAAGCACGAGGCTTCGCTCCCCTCAGTCCAGGTCTGTTGTGACACCTCTCCTGGCAGCTGTTGTCCCCATCGGCCTGCGGCCTGCGTGTGCAGTCCCGCCGCTCCCTGCGCCCTCCAGTGGCTCCTGGGCGTGCAGGCCTTCCGCTCCCTGACGTGGCCCAAGGGGTGGGGGGACACGGCCTTGGGAAGGAGGGGACCCCGCAGCACGCCGCACTGGGCGGCAGCCAGAAGCAGACTCCGGCTCCGCATCTGATGAGCTGCACGGTCTCGGGCAGGTTAATTCATTTCTTTGAGCCTGAGCTGCTTCATTTAAAAAATATATGCATAAAAAAATAAAAATAAAAAAATACGCATATATGGGTCACTAATCCCAGGAGGATTTCGGGAGGATTCACGGGTACAAGTCCCAGGAACAGCGCAGGAATGTGGTGCCTCCGGACATGCTTCACCCCGGCTTCCCTTCTTCAGGCTCCCTTGCATTCCTCTCTCCCCCGCTCCCACCACGACCCAACGGGACTTTGTAAAGAAGTGATATTACTGCTGAGGCCCTGCTCTCTTGGTTTTAGCGGTGGGGTCAGGGAGCCTGGAAAAACCTGCATCTGCATGTTGGGAGAACAGGAGCAAGTGGGTCATGGGGGTCCCAGCTGCGACTGGGGGACCCCCGTCCCCAGACCCTGCCCTGGAAGGGATCAGAGCTAGTGTCTCAGAGCTGACCGTGACTTCTCATTTTTAGAAGAGGGCCCCGCCTTCTGACGACCGGGGACAGGTGATGGGCACGGATAATTGTTCTACGTTATTACTTTTTGAGATCTCCTCCAGGCCCGAGAATATTATGAGTCCACCAACTAAAGCAACATTGGCAAGCGCAGGAGTCAAAGGCACCAATTATCTAAATAATGCAAACCAGACTAACGCTCTGCAGGCGTAGAACAGGTTCAAATTGGGTTAAAGGTGAGAGGGAGGAGATAGAGGACAGGCGCATGTGGGAAAGGGATTCCAGCGTGTTTGAAAATAACTGAAATATTTTCCCCACACATTAAAGAAAGCCCCGATGGGGTCCCTCCTCCATCTCACTGGGGCATAGGGCGTGTTTCCGCATGTGGCAGCTCCTGCACACGTCACGCGCTTTCCTGGGCCTGCCTTTGTCTTCTCCAACATGCTGTTCTTGGAATACGTGACTTAGCCGGGCAAGAGTCCCACCCTAAGACCTGGAAAATACTCATGACAGAGGAAAGAAGAATCCGGGACAGAGCTTAAACCTTCCTGGGTCCCTGCAGTCTTAAGACCAATGACCTTGAGCACTTTGGTGACCTGGGCTCCGTCCTCTTGCCCTCTACAGTGGCCCTACAGACACTTCATACCGAGCCCCTCCTTGGAGCTAAATCCTCTCTCCATTAATCTACCTGGTTGCTCCAGTCCAGAAACCAGAAACTCGGGAATCCTGAGTTCCCACTTCCCCTTCCCCTTCCCTTCTATCAGGCATATGCAGCGGCCAGGCCAGAGTGCCTGACCTCATCTCCCCTGCACCTGCCACCCTGGCTCCCCGTGGGGTGTCTGTAATGGGCCCTCTGGGAACCCTGGCCGTCCCCCTGGAGTCCCTGGGTCCTGTCTGACGGGACACACCGTGAGGCACCTGGTGCTGTCAAAGGGGCAAGTGACGTGCTGGAAGGCGGGGCCACTAGCCTGTGAGGACGCTGTTCAGGTGAGTGCTCAGGTGTGATAACCCACGTCAAAGCTGGGGGTTTGGAGCAGCCGTGTGAGTAAGGTCATGGGTGACTTGGGTCAATAGGGCCACCGTAGGGCTGGCGGGTGTCTGCCCAGGGGAGCCGGCGGTGGAAGGCGAGTGCTGCCGTGATCGTGCCCTAGGCCCACCTGCCAGCTGCCTCATGCACAGCTGCTGCCCAGGCCCCTGGGTGGCGCTGCCAGCACGGCCTCGAGTGGGGGGCCCTGGGACCAGGCCTTCACCCAGTGCGGCAGCTGGGAGCTGACCTCTGACCTGCTGCCCAGGGCCCTGAGCGTAGGCACCCGAGGGGCAAGACTGTGGGGCGCTGACCTCTGACCCCCTGCCCAGGGCCCTGAGTGCAGGCACCCGAGGGGCAAGGCCCGGCCGCGGCCGTCTGAGCGCCCAGCCCTGGAAGTCGCCCCGCCCCGCCCGCCGCCTGCTCCGGGCCACACGCGCTGCGGCCAGGCCCACGGGAGGGGATGTCGGCCCGGCCCCCGTCGCGAAGAGAGGATCATCACGGAGTCGAGGTAGGCCGTACAACTGCCGCAGGGTGAACATGAAGACGCTGCCTTCCTCCCGCCCTTCAGAGGACTCGTCCTCACACGCATCCCAGGGGGTGGCCGCCGGGTCTCGGCGCGACCCACCCGAAGCAGGGGCCCAGCTGGGACACGCCGCTTCCCGTCGCTCTGCCCCTGCCTCCCCCTTGCCGCCCTGTAGTGAACCGTCCAGATAAAGCGTCAGCGTTCAAGTCGCTCTGTGCCCGAGAGACACGGGCCAAGCTGCCCTCCACGCCTGTCACCAAATCCGAGCTGCGCTTCTAAGATTGACGGACTGATTCATGAGAGAGACAGAGAAGGCAGAGACCCAGAGACCCAGGCAGAGGGAGAAGCAGGCTCCCTGCGGGGAGCCCCATATGGGACTCGATCCCGGGACCCCGGGGTCACGCCCTGAGCTGAAGGCAGATGCCCAACCCCTGAGCCACCCTTGTGCCTCTGATCTGTGCTTTTAAATATCTTTCCTGCCACTCACTTTTCTCCCCCCACACTGACATTCCCTTAGGTCAAGTGCCATCTTCTCTCGTGTAGACCGCCATATACCTTCCTAACAGGCCCTCGATGTCTACACTAGTGGTTCTCTCCCATCCGTCTGCACTGAAGTCGGAACGATCTTTCTGAAACAAGTCTCATTGTAAAATCTGCCCGCTTCCTTTTATTTTTTTAATATTTATTTATTTATTTTATGATAGACATAGAGAGAGAGAGGCAGAGACACAAGAGGAGGGAGAAGCAGGCTCCATGCAGGGAGCCCGACGTGGGAGTCGATCCCAGGACTCCAGGATCACACCCTAGGCCAAAGGCAGGCACTAAACCGCTGCGCCACCCAGGGATCCCCAATCTGCCCGCTTCCAATGCTTTAGTGGCTCCACATCCTCATTATGCAGCAGGGCTTCCAGCCTCAGCACCGTTGGCATTTTGAGTGGGATCATTCTTTGCTGTGGGGGTCTGTCCTGTGCAACGTCAGGTGTTCAATAGCATCCCGACCTCTACGCGCTCGTTACTAGTAACACCGCACTCTCCAGGTGTAATAAGTAAAAATGCCTTCGGACATTGTCGGATGTCCCCAGGGTCGGGAGGTGGTGGGGTGCAAAATCATTTAAGTTGAGAGCCTCTGGTCTAAAATAAGCATCCTAGGGACACCTGGGTGGCTCAGTGGTTGAGGGTCTGCCTCTAGCTCAGGTCATGACCCCGGGGTCCTGGGATGGAGTCCCATATAGGGATCCCTGCAGGGAGCCTGCTCCTCCCTCTGCCTGTGTCTCTGCCTCTCTCTCTGTGCCTCTCAGGAACAAATAAATAAAATCCCAAAATAAATAAATAAATAACATCTTTTAATAAAATAAAAAATAAAATAAAAAAGCATACTTAAGGTGGCCGTGTGTGCGCTGGCCCTTCCTTCTCCTAGGTCTCCATGCAACGGCCACCCCGCACTTCTAGGATTCTTGGCCATGGGGAGGCCTAGTCCTCTTCAGGCCTTTTTGCTGCTGTTCCTCCACCTGGGACATACCCTTTGCTCCTATCTCTCCGCCCCCAAACACACACCTGCCCATAGTCACCCAGCTGATATTTTATTATCAGTTCTCAGCTAGCACGTCATTTCCTTTTTTTTTTAACACGTCATTTCCGATGGCTCTTCTGGGCCCCCGGGCTAGGTCACGCCCCGACTGGCGTCTGGGACTTCTCATAGTCCTCATCACAATTAATTAGCTTTGCGAAGCCTTGTTAATGCTTGTCCTCACTCCTTTGTCAACTCCACGAGAGCAGGGAGCAGGGCTGCCATTCCCCTTGCTTAGCACAGAGCTTGGCAGGTGAGAGGTGCTCGGTGCATTTGATACTGAATGAATGAATGAATGAATGAATGAATGGAGAGTGAATGCTACTTACATGCATTCTTGGGACTATCTTCAGATTCCTTCCTTGCTTTAGATTTTTCTCTGCCCCTCCAGGGCCCTCACTCCGGGTGTGGCTGAAGGCTCCATCCTCTGACGTTTTACCAAATTAAACTGTCTCCCTGGTCCTGAGAATCTCTCCAGAGTCTGCGCAGTGTTCTGACCCGCTCCCCTGCAGCGGGTTTCTGCAAGCATTACGTTGAGCTCCCGAATCGTTCCAAACCACTCTGGTGGTTCATTCCGAACCTTCTGGTGCATTGAAGGATCAAGTCAAGGTCCCAGATGTTGTATTTGATTCTTTGGATCTCCCCCAACCCCTCTGGGGGCGGTCGCATCCACTAAAGGGGACTTCATTCGTCTTTTCTCACCTGTCACCCCTGACTACCGACCTCGGATGGTTTCCCAACAGGGATGCCAAGTGTCAAGTGTCCTGTGCTGGGTCCTAAGTCTTTGGGGGCACAAACCGTGTTCAGATCGTGTTCGGTTTTGAATGGGTCAGGGCTAAGTCCTGGTATTTTTTTACACGTAAGCGCTTGTGGGTTTTGTGCCCCGTGTGAGGCTCCAGGGCGCCGGAGCATTCTTGCTGGAAATGGTCAATACGTCGATGTCTGAAAACCTGCAAAAAGTTTTTTAGGGCATTGTCTAGAAATGACTTCGGCAAACAGTTTTTGTTAACTGACTTTTCTGGTCTGCAGATGCGCATTCTTGGGACCCCCCCCCCCAGCCTGGAAAGCTGGAGGAGGAAGGAGCTGCACCCCAGAGCCTGCCTGGTCCCCAAGCTCCAGCTTCCTCCAAAGGTGCCGAATCCTGGGATTTACTCCCCCTCGTGGTTTGACGAAATACAGCTTCTCTGGATGAAAAAGGACCACGTTTAAGCCACAGCTCCTCGCAGCTCTGGACGTGCAGCTGTTCAGAAGCTTCCAGTTGCAAATTAGGGGTGAACCGAGAGGATGAGTACGTGCGTCCTTTGAGAAGAGAATGGGAAGTGGGCTCCTGGTGGGGGGCAGAGGGGGGGAGCGTGGAAGGGCAGGCCGTGTTGTCTGGAATTCTGGTCCTGGATAGGTTTGCCTGGGACCTGCCAGAGACCCACGTTCTGAGGATGTTTTGCTGACGACGCCCCAGAAACAAAGGCGAGAGCCAAACACAATCCAAGGGAAAGCAGGAGGGATAAACACAAAGAAAGAAAGAAAGAAAAAAGGAAACCAGGCAACCGACCTTTGAAATTCTTTATCCTCTTTCTACGAAGCGGAAGAAAACAGGAGCAGGCCTTCAAGCGTTAGGGTGTTGCCCCAGGCTTTCCTGCGTGGGGCTGGTAGACTGGTCTGTTGTTGTTTTTAAAGATTTTATTTTTTATTTGTGAGACACAGAGAGTGAGGCAGAGACACAGGCAGAGGGAGAAACAGGCTCCCTGCGGGGAGTGGATGCGGGACTCGATCCCGGGACCCTGGGGTCACGCCCTGAGCCCAAGGCAGATGCTCCACCACTGAGCCCCCAGGGTGCCTGCCCTTGGTGATTCCAATGTGAGAACCACTGGTCTAACTCCGAAGCCAGTTAGCGGCTAGTGCTGGGAGCCCCAAGGTGCAATTAGCTGAGACACAGGCCGCAGCCAGACTTCTCTCTGCCAGTACCTCAGAGCGCCCCTTTTCCCCCAGCTCAGCCTCGATTTCCCTCCTCTGTCTGTCTTCTCCTCCTGCCTACCTCCAGGCACCCCAGGAATCGCTCCTCTGGAAATCCCTGTCTGGCCCCCAGCATCCCCCCTGGGCTGCCCACCCCCCTGCAAAGCCCTCTGGGTTCCTCCAGCCCCACCCCCTCCTTCCTGCTACCGCAGAAACTTCCGTACCCCTTCCTGGGCTCCACTGATGCCCACGTTGGCTTACACCAGCTGGTTTATTCCCCCGACCCCACCCAAGAGGGTGTGTGATCTTTCCTCTTTAGGGAGCAGGGGGGTGGAGCCATTGGGCAGGCCCCCAAAGACTCCTGCATCTGGTTCCTCACCTGTAAAGTGAGAATAATTTGCCACCTCACAGGAGTGATGTCATGTGAGGCCAGGTGGGCCGAGCCACCCGGATCAGGTGCTTCCCAGTGGACCCTAGAGGAAGCCTGGAACTCTGCACGTGTCTATCACTTCGGGTGTTAGGTGTCGGTAGCAGGTGGTGAGGACTCCTCTAAGAAACAGTGTCTACCTGGTGGTTCTCCACCTTGGTCAGACATTGGAGTCACCTGGGGGGGCCTTCAAAGCGGTGAGGCGCCCAGGCTGAGCCTGAGACCAGTTAAATCTGTACTGCTGTGAGTGGAGAGAGCAAGCATGAGTATTTTTTTGTTTTTTTTAAGCATAAGTATTTTTAATGGCCACTAGGAGATTCCAGTGCACCGCCAAGGCCAAGAACAAGGCTTTGGGGTCTGTGGGACCGGAGTGTACTGATCTCGAGCCAGTCAGCAAGCTCTGAGTTCGTTTCTCCCATCAGAAAAATGGGAATAAAATATGTACTTCGTCGTTTGATTATGCAGATTCGTCGAGACGGTTCTGCACAGGGCCTGGCCCGGTGCTCAGGTTCTCCCTTCTGTTGGGGGAATTGGGAGCCGGGGGTGGACATCCGAGGTCCGTGGCAGGCCAAGGCCCTCTCAGCAGCCCTGGGCCCATCCGGCGTGCCTCGGCCCTCCCCCGGGCTCAGCGCTTATCTGCCTGGTGCTCGTGCTGCTCTGGGTCCAGCAAGTTCATGAATCCAGCTCTCGCAAGGCCCACAGGGAGCCTGGCTTCTCCCCACGGGGCAGGGTAGGGGGCATGTCAACGGCTTGATTCCGTTAAAAAAAAGTGAGTAATGATTAAAAGAAAGAGGCAAATGAGGAGTGTCCCTTTTGTCGTTCAATCACCGATACGCCATGTGGTCTCTCACTTCGGGGCTAAAGTTTTGTTTAATGTTGGGCAACCTGGAGACGCGGCCGGCGCTTACATCATTGCCATGAGAATATGTGCTCTGAGGTGTAGACATTCGGCTTACAGATCCCCCTTTCGGGACACGAGCGTAGCACACGTGAGCGTGCCCTGGCATGCATGAGCGTGTGGTCGCGTGTTTGGAAGGCGCGCACGGGTGTTTCCAGTGTGTGTGGGTCTATACGAGTGTGGGCGTGTGTGCGAGCACACAGTGTGTTTGTGCATGTGAACACACTCGTGTGCATGCGTGTGTGTGGCGGGCTGCGCGTGCTGGGAGTTGTCGGGGATGAGGATTTCTCACTCTCCTCGCCGGTCTCTAGGTTCTGCTTTGCTTTATCCCCTCCTAAGCCTTACGTAAACTTAGGACAACTTGGGCTGAGACCTTCTATTACTGTCAAAAGCATTTTGAAGTGATCCAAGCGCTCCGTTTCCATTCTTCTGGGAAACCCTCGCAGGCTTGGCCACCCCTGCAGCCTTCCGCGATCATCCGATCATCCGTTGCTTTGTAAAGTGGCTTCTCGACAAATAGATGGTGTCTCTTCTGCGGCCACCCTGGGAGGGAGGGCGTGGGGGCAGTGGCGGAGAGGGCTGTGGGCGGCCTGCCACGTGCCAGGTTCTGGGCTGTTGCACTCTTTTCACTATACTACACCGGGAACTGATCTTTATTTTCCTTTCTTTTCCACTCTTCTTTTTTTCAATTTTTGATTTTTTAAAGATTCCATTTATTCATGAGAGACACAGAGAGAGAGGCAGAGACACAGGCAGAGGGAGAAGCAGGCTCCCTGTGGGGAACCCAATATGGGACTCGATCCCAGGACCCCTGGATCGTGACCGGAGCCAAAGGCAGATGCTCAACCATTGAGCCACCCAGGTGTCCCTCCACCCTTCTTTTGTCCGCGTCTTTGGGCCCAGAGGGGGCATCCCTGGCACTGGGTGACAGGCAGCTTGTGTCTGAAGTTTCATGTAACCCGACCGTAACCCTCCCTGTACCCGGTTGATCCCAGGACAAAGGTCTCCTGGATGGGAAACATGCCTTGGCCTCCTGACGCTCCTTTGTCTACACCCAGGACGGCCCAGCAGAGCGCTCTAGTTCCTAAAAGGGGAGGACGGATCCCGAAGGGTCGCTGCCCTTCTCACTTGTCACGCCACGTAGGCTGGGGCAGGACTTCCGATTTGGTGTATCTGAGTTTGGTTTAAACGCTCGCTGTGTCGCCACAGCAGCCTTCAACTGGTCGGGACTTCCAGTAGGCTAATGCCACAACCCTGGGCGCGTGGAGAAACTTCCATGGTCTCTTTTTCAGTTGAGAGTATCGTGGCTGTTGGTATTTTAATTGTCCTGATTATTTCTGGGTGCCCTGGAGGAGGGCGTGCGCTTTCTGCGTGTCCTCGGTCAATTAATGAGGGCCGGGGAGAGGACGGGGAGGCAAGGCCAGGGAATGATTGGGGGGGATGTGACTGGTCGGAGAGAGGGAACATGTCTATAGTTAAATATATCATTTCTTCCCATCTATTACCAAAATTACATGGAAATCGTTCCAGTTAGCATTTCATGAAAACGGCTCTTCCACATGGCTCAGGGTGGCTTTTATGTTGCCAAACCCTGGTCTCCATGTTTTGCCTTACCCAGAGTGTCTTTTTTTTTTTTTAAATGATTTTTATCTATTTATCCATGAGAGACACAGAGAGAGAGGCAGAGACACAGGCAGAGGGAGAAGCAGGTCCATGCAGGGAGCCCGATGTGGGACTCGATCATGGGACCCCGGGGTCACACCCTGGGCCCAAGGCAGACGCTCAACCACTGAGCCCCCGGGTGTCCCCCAGAGTGTCATTTTAGTAACAAACACTGATTAACAAGGTAAATTTGCAGAAACCCTTATAGATTCATTTGAGTTCGTATAGGTAGTGTATATTATATAAATATTCTCAAAACCACCTTATTATAGTTACCAATAGGCTGTTTCTCTTCCCCCACCCCTTTCCTTATAAAAGCGTAAGCAATGGGATGCGTACCAGAAGGATCTATGTGTACTGCACACAGGGACAATGTTTCTCATCTTCAGTCCATCCAGGGAAAATGTACAGAGAAACTCAAATTTTTGCTGGGTTCTGTCAATGCTGTGGCAGTGTTTCAACCACAGGATCATCTGGGAGTTTTATCCCCACAGGAGGTGATGAGCAGTTCATGATCCAAAGCTCCATTGTCCTGTGCCTTCCTAGAGGCAGAAGCTATACCAACTTTCGAGATCGATCGAAGCAGCTTACCCACGAATGCACAAGGTTTCAAAGCACTTGGGCGCTTTGTTTTTTTTTCATCACATCAGCATCTTTTAGGATCTGGGTTTGGAGACTGGGTACGACTGGGCTTGGAAAAGTGAGTAGGGATTGTCAGGATTTGTCTGGAAAGTGGGAAGAAGGCAAACCGTGGGAGCCAAACAAGGTCATTCTGGAATTGTTGGGGTTTCCTTCCAAACCCTAGTTCCCTAGTGCAGATGGCCCCGAGTTTCCCAAAACAGGAGCTATGAACACTTAAGACTTGCGGCCATCACCTGGGGGCCCCATTCCCTGCTCCGCTCTTCCTTCTGCTATTTCTCTTTCTCGAAGCAATTCTCTTGCTTTGTTTCAGAGCCCCTGCTTGCCCACAGGCCCAGCCCAGACCTCTCCTTCCAGGCCTGTCATTTGAGGAGGTTATTTTAGGACACGGCCGAGAGGAGTTCAGGGCCCCCGGCTTGCCGGTTAGAGTCTCTGCCAGGGACTGCAGGGGAAAGTTTGGTGCATCCTGAACTTCTAGGATCTGCCTTCTTACATAATCGTCCTCTTCAGTGATTTCCAAACAAACAAGGGCAGAGGGAAGCTAAAGAGGCCGACAGGGCGTCGTGAGCAGACCTGGTTTGCAACTGTTTGTAAATTAATTTCCCCATTCCTTATTCCCGACTGCTAACGACAAGCCTGCTGGCCCCAAATAGTCACTTAGGCTAAGTCCCGCGTCAACGCAGCGAGACTTGACTTAATCACTGTTTCATTAAAAAAAAAAAAATCACTGTTTCAGCTCTCTGAGAAATGGGATCTTAAGCCAGTCCATGAGGAATCACCGGATCAGCGGTGGTGTGGCAACCTACCTGGTGAGACCCCTGCCATGCCCTGGAGGCAGGTCACCTTGCAGTCACCAATTTACCTTTGCACTCATGTGGCTTCCTTGTTCCTTCGCCTTCTGCCTGTAATAGTCTTTCTTTGGTGCAGCCCCTCGGAGCCCCTTGCTGTCTGCGGGGTGGGATGCGGCCTGATGCAGGAGGGGCTGAATAAGGCAAATGAGGTCTCTCAAATGCACTCTGCTGAGTTTTGGTTTTAACAGTTCCCTGTGTGTATGGGCTATTTTTTTATTTTATTATTTTATTTTATTTTGTTTTGTTTTATTTTATATTTTATATTTTATTTTATTTTATTTGAGTTCAATTTGCCAACATATAGCATAACACCCAGTGCTCATCCCATCAAGTGCCCCCCTCAGTGCCCGTCACCCTGTATGGGCTTTAAAAATTTTTTTATTTTTTTATTTTTTTAAATTTTCCTTCCAACTGGTTAAAAGGTCATCCCGGTTACCCTCATCAATGAATTCGATAAAACCTTTGATATGTTTTCATTTTCTATGTGTCTGAGAGGCATGATTTTTACCTTTAAAATAAATCTTTTAATACTAGGTACCTTGTATTCCAAGTACTTTTCCAGATGCTGATGGGGAGCAAGAGTTTTCTGTCCCCTCAAAGGTCTTCCCCGCTGGACTAAGAATCAAACTGACACACTAGGTAGGTTAACAGGAGAAGATCAGATTTTGGGGTGCGCCTACGGGAGATCCACATAGACGTGGAAATTCCAAAGACAAGCAAAATGAGGTAGACATGTCATTCTGAACTAAGGAGAAGAGTGGGGAGAGGTGTGGGACTTCACAGGGAGGGAATGGGCATGGGGGAAGATGAGAAAATGTAAATGTTTGGTAAACAAATGTTTGCTGGGCCCTAGGGGGCTCTGACCACATGGCACCGGCACCGTACCTGGGTCACAGCACACTGTCTATGGTGACAGCGCCCTTCCCAGAGCAGCTTCTCCATCTGAATTAGCTGTAGGGGGTTGGTAAGGAGCTTTTCCCCGAAATCTGCTGGATTTGATGGCTTTTTGACTCCAAATGATCTTCTCACCAGAGTGGCTCACCTGGGGGTGGCCTGGCCCTGGCCTGTTGCATAAAGCCCCTTTGTGTGTTGATTCAACAAGCACAGAACTCCGTTTTGGATGCTATGTGCTGTTCGTGCTGTTCGACGTGCCTGAGACATGTTAACTGACTCAATCCGCAGACCAGACCCTGGAGCACTCAGGTGTCCCTTCAGCCCTTATTAGCGGCTTATCCACCGGGAGGCTCAGAATCCTGGTCAGGGTTGTGGCGTCACCAAGGGCCAGGGGAGGGGGCCCAGGTGCAGACCTGGGTGAGGCTGAAGCCCACAGGCCTTCTCCTGGCCCTGGGGCTCTCTCTCTAAGCCTCCTCTGGTGGGGGAGGGAGGTGCCGGATGGGCAACTGGTAAGCCCGGTGGGGGCTGAGCTGTCCTTGTCCTCTGTGGGTGCCCCTGGATGGCGCGTGCAGAGGACCGAGCTGGGGCTCTTGGGGCCGAGCGGCTGTCCCAGGCCCCAGGCCCTGCCTGGGCCATGCCAGAAGCTCTCGTTGGTGACTGCCAGTCCATGATGCTCTGACTGCAAATTACATAAAGCCTGTAACTGTGATGGAGCTGAGCACTCTTCTCACACATTTTGAGTGATGATTTTGAGTTTTGTTTTGAAAACAATAAACAGAGATGAACCTGAGGAAAAAAAAAAGCGGGGCGGGGGGGGTTGTGATGGGGAAAGAGCCCCAGGTTGTTCTGCAGGAAGCTGCATCTTTAAGGAGCAGAAGGGCCGTGTTGACAGAGGGCAAGGGCTGTGATAAACGGGTTCCAGAGAGGAGCCCCCAGCCACGGAGGGACCCGCACCCTACCCGGTGGCGTGGGGCATTCCTCTGACCGCCGATGACTGTTGTGCTGTGTTTCCTATAAACATCAACTTAAAATATCTCTCTATGGGGACCTGGGGTGGCTCAGTGGTTGAGTGTCTGCCTTTGGCTCAGGCCGTGAGCCTGGGGCCCTAGGATCGAGTCCCGCTTCGGGTTCCTGCAGGGAGCCTGCTTCTCCCTCTTGCCTAAGTCTCGGCTTCTCCCTCTCTCATGAGTAAATAAAATCCTTAAGAAAAGTATCGCTCCATTTCTTCCCCCAAGGGCCCTCTTCCTTCTCAAAACATAGGTTTCGGTTTATTCATTTTTTTTTTTGAATTTATGGTCACGCCTATGGGAGAGTCAAGGAGACAGTGAGACAGCATGATTCGCGGGTAGGCACAATGGGAATGTGCTGGGCCCGGGTTCAAATCCCCGGGCTCCTGGAGAATGAGGCTAGAACCCAGCTAACCCAGCATGAAGCCTCTGGGGATTAAGTAAACGCTCCCAACTCTCCCATGAGAAGGGGGCACAGGGTGGGCGAGGCCCCGCAGTCGGGCGAGAGGCTGGAGGGCCCGGAGGGTGGACGGGCGGGCGGGGTCGGGGGGCGGGCGGGATGCAGGTCCAGGCGGCCGCTGCGGAGGAGGCGGCCCGCGAGCGCTGCTGCTCCGCGGCTAACCCCGCCCGCGCCCCACGAGGCTTCCAGCAGGCTCGGGGCTGGGGCAAGGGGGGGCTCGGGGCGCGGGGGGACGCGGGGTTTGGGGGGTTTGGGGGGGCTCGGAGATGGGGGCTCGGGGCGCGGGGAGCCTTGGGGTTTGGGGGTTCGGGGCTGGGGGGGCTCGGGGTTCAGGGCTCGGGGCGCAGGGGGACTCGGGGTTTGGGGGGACTCAGGGGGGCTCGGGGCGCGGGGGGCCCGGGGATTGGGGGGCTCTGGGGGGCTCGGGGCTCAGGGGGACTCGGGGCGCGGGGGCCTCGGGGTTTGGGGGGGCCCGGGGCTTGGGGGGGCTCGGGGCTCGGGGGAGCTCGGGGTTCTGAGGGCCTCGGGGCTTGGGGGGCTCGGGAGGGCTCCGGGGGGCTCGGGGCGCGGGGGGCCCCGGGGTTGCGGGGCTCGGCCAGATGCGGATCCGGACGGGCAGCCCCGGAGCCACCCGCCCTGGGACTCCTGCTCCAGAGCAAAGGTCGCGGCGGCAGCTGGCTCCTCGGGCTCCCCGCCCTCCTCGGGCTGCCCGGTGCCAGGAAGTCCGCCCGCCACCGCCGTCGCCGTCGAGCCAGGACGGTCCGCGCAGGATGCCGGCGCGCTCGGTCCTGCTGGCTGCGGCTTCGGTCCTGTCCGCCTGTCAACAAAGTAGGGGCCGGTGCGCGTGCGCGTGTGTGTGTGTGCGGGGGGGGGGGGGGGGGTCTGGCCTGTGAGTTCCCCCGCCTGGTGCCCCGGCTCCGCGGGCCTCCGCTCTGGGGCCTCGGCTCTGGAACACTCCAGGGAGCGCTGCCCTCAGAGCGGAGGCCGAGGCCCCCAGGACGCAGGGACGCTGCCCGGTCTGTGGCACAACCCACGGCCCCCAGAGCCAACGAGCCTGACCAATGCACTAGCCCGGGGGGGGGGGGGGGGGGCTCAGGGGCTGCCTCGGCCCAGGGCGTGACCCCGGGCTCCCGGATCCAGTCCTGCAACGCGCTCCCTGCATGGGGCCTGCTTCTCCCTCTGCCTGGGTCTCTGCCTCTCTCTCTCTGTGTCTTTCGTGAATAAATTAGTAAAATCTTTTTTTTTTTTTTTTAAAGAAAGAAATGCACTGGCTAAGCTGAGGGGAGCGGCTGTAAGTAGGAAGTGGGAGTGTTCCAAGAGACCTTGCACCTGCCTGGACCGTGCTTGTGATTCCGTGAACCCTGATCTTTCAGTGAATGCTTCTTATTAAGGAAACCAGCTTGGGCAGGCAGGATCAGCAGGGTTTTTTTTTTGTTTTTTTTTTTTGTTTTTTTTTGATCAGCAGGTTTGGGGAAACTGGAGCTTCAGGTTGGGCGACCAATCCAAGTTTTAAAGCACCTCCCCCTGGGGGGTTGGCATGTGCGGTGCTCGCTGTGTCAAGGGCGTTCACTCCACGGGGGCACACTTGCCCAGTGCTCCTCACCTTATCCATGATGTCACCTTAACACGCTAGATGGGGGCAAAGGGCCTGGCCACCGGTGAGCAAGCCTCGGAGCCACCCATGCCTGGGTCGTTGTTGTTCTGAAGCAGCCGGGCGGGGGGTGGGGGAGGCCCAGGCCTGTGCCCACCATGGGCACCTGGCCTAAGCTGTGCTGTGAATCTACGAGAACACTGTACCGACAAAGACACATGTTCAGTGGTTGCACTCCCAGCCTTTTCTAGACTGGAGCAGGGTGTTTGCCGCCCACCAAAGCAGCACTCAGGTCTCCAGCACCCCGATGCTGACCCAGGGGCTCACAGCTGGGGCCCTCCTGGTGCCCCAGGGAGCACAGGAGCGGTTTGCACACCCCCGGGGTGCTCAGCAGGCTCTGCTTGCTGCGGGGATGCAGGGGACAGTGGGGACTGGCCAGAGGTCAGGTGGGGGTGGGCAGGGGTGGGTGGAGACGAGAGGAGATCCAGCCTGCCCTGCCATGGGTGATTCAACTCAGTCCATTTGATCTTATTATTTTTAAAAGATTTTATTTATTCCTGACAGAGAGAGAGAGAGAGAGAGAGAGAGAGAGAGAGAGAGAGACAGGCAGAGGGAGAAGCAGGCTCCATGCAGGGGAGCTGATGTGGGACTGGATCCCGGGACTCCAGGGTCATGCCCTGAGCCCAAAGCAGATGCTCCACTGCTGAGCCCCCCCACCCCCACCCCCACCAGGCATCCCCAACTGAGCCCATTTTAAAGATCTTCCCGGCTTTGTGCAGCGTCCCATGAAACACATAGAAAGGAGCCCCGAGAGCCGAACGAAATGTAGGACTTGTGCAGTGAGAAGCGGGCAGGGCAGGAAGCTGCCCGGGAAGGCGGCTGCTTGTGCAAAGGCCACCTGCTCGCAGGGGCTGCAGGGGGGTAGTGGGGAGGTGGGCTCTCTAGCGCCAAGCAGGTGGATGCAGATTGGCGGCCCTGAGACTCCCCTGGGGTGGGGGGAATGGTAATTAAGTGAGGTATTTAGTCTCGCTTTGGTGACATCGGCCTAGGGCCAATGACTCCGTTTGGGGCCTGTTGTCTCCTTTTTAACAGCGGTAGGCATGGAACATTTACTGATGGGGGGGGGGGGGAGACAGACAGAGAGAGAGAGAGAGAGAGAGAGGAGACATAAGTGGCATAACTCGTTGACACTGAGGACCAGAGTCGACTGCTTCGGCAGATGCCTGGGGTCTGTGGAGGGGCCACCGTGAACCACGGTAGGGGCAGGTCAGGTTGTGACCTGTATCTTGTATCTGTCCAGTTCGGCCACTTAGCCTGGCCTTCGATGTCCCCCTCAGACAGGGTTAGGCAGGACACTGGGTGAGGATGCCCCCAGGGGCCTGGCCCGGGGTTGGTGCCCTGCATGGTCAGTCCCCACCCTCGGCTGTTCCTGCATGGACAGAAGCTGCCGCCTCCCTGAGCGGTGCCCCCCCTTCCCTGGTGCAGGAGCCGAGTTGTGGCCGGGGAGACTGGGGGGCATGGGGGGTGGGGGGCCTTGGGTCACTCGCCCCGGCCCACACATGCCCCTCTGGACAAGTGAAGGAAAGGGGAAAGACAGGCCAAGCAAAAGCTGAATATGGCCAGGCAGTTTCTAGGCGACTGTGAAGGCGGGAAAGGAAACAGAGGCTCTCCAGGGAAGGTAAAGGAGCCCTTGCACCCTCATCACGGGGTCCCAGTGGTGGACACGGTGTGTCTGTGGCCCCTGACCCGGGAGATCCCTCCGGAGGAAATGCATCACACCCAGTGGGAAACTGGTTCTGAGACATTAGCAAGTAGGAAGCGGATCTGGAGGTACCGGAATAAGGGAGACCAGAATAGTGTGGAGGCAACTGGTAAGGAACTGAAACGGGCAGAAATCATCCGAAGGGAAATAATAGACCCCAGAGCTAATTATGGGGTAAGAGAAAAAGGGGGTGATAAGGACAGGAGGTGAGAACACCTGACCGAGGAGGCAAGCGTGGGTCTGAAATGCAATGAGGTTTTCCAGGCCTGGTCATCGGATGCGAGGGACTCCGGCGCTGGGCTCGGGAGGTCTGTGCAACAAACGTGGCCAATGACGGAGAACAAAGTCATAGTCGTTTTAAAGTAGGGAAACTGAGTCCGACGGGGAGGCATCATCCCCTAAAGTTTTCTTGTGACCGTCCCTCCTTGCTCTTGTCATCTCTAGGGAGCCGCGGGTCCGCTTTATGTCGCTGTGGGTTCATTTTTGAGACGTTTGTATAAGTGAAACTACGCAGCACTAGTCTCTCCTGATCTTGCTGCTTATTTATTTATTTATTTATTTTATTTATTTATTTATGATAGTCATACAGAGAGAGAGAGAGAGAGAGGCAGAGACACAGGCAGAGGGAGAAGCAGGCTCCATGCACCAGGAGCCCGACGTGGGATTCGATCCCGGGTCTCCAGGATCGCGCCCTGGGCCAAAGGCAGGCGCCAAACCGCTGCGCCACCCAGGGATCCCGATCTTGCTGCTTTTGCTCGACGTAATAGGCTTGAGGGTCACGCAGGTTGTTTCCTGCGTCAACAGTTCATTCCTTTATATGCTCTAATAGTATTCTATTGGATGGATATGTCGCAATACCATGATATGTTTACCCATTAACTGGTTGATCCACCCTAACCCATTGGTGTTAGGGTTCTCCAGAGAAGCAGAACCAATACGATAGACACACACTCTCTCTCTCACACACACACACAGAGGGATTTGTCTAAAAAATTGGTTCATGGCACTGTGGGGGCTAGCAACTCTGAAAATTTACAGGCTGGGCTGGAAGGCTGGCCAGTCTATCAAGAGTCGGTGTTGCAGCATTTTTTTTAAATTTTTTGATTTTTTATTATTTATTCATGAGAGACAGAGAGAGAGAGAGAGAGAGAGAGAGAGAGAGAGGCAGAGGGAGAAGCAGGCTCCATGCAGGAAGCCTGATGTGGGACTTGAACCCGGGTCTCCAGGATCATGCCCTGGGCCGAAGGCAGGCACCAAACCGCTGAGCCACCCAGGGATCCCCCGGTGTTGCAGCATTGAGCTTGAAGGCAGGGTGGAGTCCGGCTTCCATTCTCTTTGGGGGAACCGCAGTCTTTTCTCTTCAGGCCTTCAACTGATTGGATGAGGCCCACCCACACCAGGGAGGGTAATCTGCTTTGTACTCAGAGTCTGCTGATATAAATGTTAATCACATCCAATAAATATTTTCACAGAAACATCTAGACTGGCGTTTGACCAGACAGCTGGGTGCCATGGCCTAGCTTGTAGACACAATAAAATTAACCATTGCAGAGGCGTTCCTGATTTTTGGTTGTTATGAATAAAGCTGCTGTGTATGTTTGTGCAGACATTTTTGTGTGGACACATGATTTAATTTCTCTTGGAGAGATAACTAGGATTGGAGCGACTGGCTATGTGGTCTACGTATGTCTAACTAAAAAATCCTTTCTAGGTGGTTTCCTAAAGTGATTGTACCATCTTACATTCCACCAGAGTGCATGAGAATTCTGGCTGCCGTTATAGCCTTATTTCTCTTTTTTAGCTGATATGATTCGTCTTTTTAATCTTAAACGTTTTGCTAGGTATGTAGTGGTATCTAATTGTGCTTTACATTTGTGTTTTCCTGGGCAGCCCCAGTGGCGCAGCAGTTTGGCTGCGGTTTGATCCTGGAGACCTGAGATTGAGTCCCATGTCGGGCTCCCTGCATGGAGCCTGCTTCTCCCTCTCCCTCTCTCTCTCTATCTATGAATAAATGAATAAAATCTTAAAAAAAATAAATTTGTGTTTTCCTAATGAATAGTGATGTGCCACATTCTAATGCCACGTTCTAATTGTTAATCCCTCTATACTTGCAGGTTATTTTGCTTTACACGTAGGAAAGGCAAGATTAAAATACAAAGTTACGCCCCCGGCCGTTTCTGGGTCACCAGAGTTTGAGAGGATGTTCCGTGCACAGTAAGTAACGCTTCCCCCACCCTTGAGGGATCCAGGCCTCCCACGTATAGAGAACTCTGATCGGGAAAGACGCGCAGAGAATGTATCCCATTATAACAAACCACCCTTCACAGCCAAGCCCCTCGTCATGATGCCTGAAGCATCCAGAAAAGGCTGGGATCTTAAGAAAGACTGCTATCCACGACTAAGCATGGCAGTTTGGTTAACTGTACGCTGAGAGTTCAATAGCCTCCAGCCGGATTAGCTATGACATCAATTTTCCATCTTTATTTTTCCTTTCCACTTGAAACAGAGATGGGTCAGTGTTATCCTCTGTCCATGAACCATGTCCTAAAATCTCCAACCTGTAAGAATGAGAAAGCTTTCCATTTCACACATACGTATAGTGATTTTGATCATCTTGTCTTTTCAGATCCACACAGAATGTTCCACCATAAACACCATGAATTTGGCTGCTGCAGATGCTAGGGCTCCCTTTGTATTTCATCCCCCAAATAAGTGCTTTTAGAAACATTACATGTGTCACCATTTATGTGTCACTCAGTTCTTTTGTTAATACTTTGGGATTTTTCATCTATGAGTGACGTTGGCCCATAATTTTCCTTTCTTATATGATCTTTGTCTCACTCTGATATCAAGATTCTACTAGTCTCATTGAATGAGTTAGAGAATTATTTTCTGAGATAATTTTAATAAGATTGGGAGAGTGTGTTCCTTTAAAGTTGTTAGAATTTGTCTGTAAAATGATCTGAACTGATGTTTTCTTTGTGTAAAAAATTTTAAACTGTGGATTTTGATTTCTTTCGTGATAATTAGATTCTTCAGCTTTTTATTACATCTTGAGTCATTTTGGGCAAGTCATGATCCTTGAGCTGTAGCATTGTTCTCTTGTCCATCTCTCTGCTTCCACAAGAATCACATAGACTATTCCGTAGGCTTGAAAGTGTGGGATGAATACACTGGTATAGAAGGGAGAATTTTAAGAGGTGCATAAAGATGATTTTTGCAACAAAATTTTATTGAGGTAAGAACATGTAATAGGAGATATACCCTCTTAAAAAATTGGAATGTATAAAACATTATTGTTTGTAGAGGTGGTGCTGTACAGCACATCTCCAGAGCTTGATCTCTTCCTTGATTGAAACTTTATGCCCAGGATATGATTATCAGTAACATCGGACCATGTGGTGAGAAACTCATTTCCACTTTAATTGTCTTTGAATCTTCATGATTATGTCGAGTGGAAGGCATTGGTTTGGTGCCAGTATGTTCCACACTCCAGTATTTATTTTTTATTAGCATAACATATGTATATGGTCTGAAAGTAAAGTGAGATTACAAGCTCGAAAGCAACAAATAACTCTCCTTACTGCCAATCCATCTCCAGAGACAATCACTGGCACCCTTCTGACTACTACTTTTGGTATTTACTTCCATGTTTCTAACCATTATGATTTCACTGCTATTTATTAATTCATAAATTTTAGACATTATTGATTAGCTTCCTTTTATGGAATAAAGAATTTCAAGTCTCTCCACTTCCTCTTTTCCTTACCTCCACCTTCCAGTATAGTTACATCACTTTGTTGAGTTAAACCAATAACCAATGCTTATATTATTGTTATTACTTAAGTAATGTTCAAAGCTGAGTCAGATAGTATACTATGATTTCATCTTCCCGTGAATTTTTTGTTTTACCTGGGGTTAATGATTGCCTTTTTGTTTGTTTGTTTGCTTAGTTTCATCCTCAAATCTTTAACAGGACTGAAAATCTTGTCTTAATACATTCAAATACATTAATCTAGTAATACCATTGGTTTTTGTCTTGGATAATCTCTGCTTGAATCCTCCATCTTTCTGCTCCAATCTGGAGGATGCTTTTTAAATCTGCTATATGCTGTCATTTTGGGACTTCTCATCATCCTAGGAATTTTTTCTTTAATATTCTCCTGATTTGGATTGCCTGCTTTCCTATATTTTCTATTTCCTATCTATTGATTTTCTCTCATGTTGGTGGAACATACCCTGCAGAAGTTTCCTGAGAGAGGGTAAATAGTTGGTCAATTTTGAGACTTTATATTTCTATATATGCTTTTATTCTGCCTCACAGCTGATTGTAGGCTTGGTTAGACATGTATTTCTACGTTAAAAATCCTTACGCTCAGATTTTTGGAAATATTCTTTTGTTATTTTATAGTTTTCATTGATATGGTCATGATGTTCAATGCCATTCTAATTCCTGATTCTTTGGAAACTGTGGAAGCTTTAGGATCTTCCCCTCACCCCAATGTCCAAAGATAGTATGGTGCTGTACTTGTTTAGAGGCATCTGTCTTCACTATGCTGAACCTTAGATAAGGCTTTTTTATAGCCTGACAACTCATGTCTTTCTGTTCTAGAACTTTTAAAAAATAATCCTTTTCCCTGAATTACCTCTTCTCTGTTTTCTCTGTTCCTTTATTCTTAAAACCTATATTAGTTGTATATTGACCCCCAAATTGGTCATCTAGTTTTCTTTTATCTTTGTTTTTTCATCTTCTTGGACTGTTGTTCTTTCTGGGAAATTTCTTGAACTTCTGTTTACTAATCTTTAAAAGAATTCAGACATCAGTTTTAACTTCTAAGAATTAATTTTTATTCTTTGGTTGCTCTTTAGTTATTGCTGCTATCAAATTATTCCTTTTCTGTTTTATGGATGCAATTTATTCTCTTATATTTGAGGATTTTAATGATAATATATTTTTTGACTTCTTGTATCATTTCTGTTTTTTCCAAGTTCCTTCTGATTTGTCTGTTTTAGCTTTTGTCTTTCACTTTTATTTATTATTTTCCCATTAAATATTTATTGAGCACCTCTGTATAGCCAGTGCTCTTCCAGCAGTTTGGGATATATCAGTGAAAAATTAGACAAAGATCCTTGCCCTCTTGAAGTTTACCTTATAGAAATATTAGGTATAGAAGACAGAAAGTAAATAGATAACATCCTAAGAAAATACTATATTATGAGAGAGGTGGTAAGGGTTAAGGAATAAAAGAAAAAGGAGAACATTGTAAGGAGCTTTTTGGGGTGGGTTACTGGGGGGTAAGTTGGGGCAGGTTACTATTTAGGGTGGTCAGTGTAGATGCCACTGAGAAGGTGACACTTGAGCAAAGGCTTGAAGCAGGTAGAGTTAGCCATGCAAACATGCAGAGTAAACACTCTGGAGGCGAAAGGAATAATTATTGCAAAGACCCCAAGTGGGAATGTGCCTGGTGGGTTAGCAAAGAGGTCAGCCTGGCTGAAAGGACCTGACAGGAAGTGGCGGGAGGTAAAGTCAGAAAGGTAACGGATGGATCACGTAAGGCCTTAAAGGCTGTTGTAAGGACTTTGGCTTTTCTGTGAGTCAAACAGAAAGGCATTATAAGCTTTTGAGCAGAGGAATACACGATCCTATGTTCTAAAATGATCATTTGGTCTGCTTTGCTGAGAACAGTCTATATGGAGGCATTAGTCGAAGCAGAGAATTCGGGTTAGGAGGCTACCTTAAACCAGGGAGGTGGGAGAAATGGTCAGATTCTGGATATGTTTGGAGAGTAGAGCCAAGCGAATTTCCTGGAGTGTGAGAAGCATCAAGAACGACCTCAGGGTTTTGGCCCGAGCATCCCAAGAGACAACAGAGAGAGAAGGCAACAGGAGAAGCAGTTTGGGGGGGAAGACCAGGAGGTTCCTTGTGACATGTGTCTGAGACGTGACTTACGGTACAGCTAAGGAGGGGCTGTAAGCATGGTCGTTCACCAGCTACTCAGATCATTTCCTCTTTCCTTGTAAACTACGCAGTACATTGTTTATGTATCTGAGTGGAGAGACCCAGGCAGGTGGACATATGAATCTGCATTTCAGCAGAGAGATCTAAGCTGGAAATATAAATTCAAGAGTCATTGGCACACAAAGATAATTTAGAACCATGAGAGTGGACAAAATCTTTAAAAAAAATTTTTTTTAAGAATTCTTTAAGGGAGTGGGTGTAGGTAAAGGAGAGAAGAGGGGCAAAGACTGACCCAGCCTTAGAAGTCAAGAAGATAAGGGTCCAGCAAAGAGACCTGTGCAAAGGAGATCTTAGAAGCTTTACTCAAATGTCAAGTGGTTCTTGATTGGCTGTCTGTGCAAATTTAATAAAGAGCATCAGCAAATGAATTGGAAGCTCTGTGTGCATGGGTGGGGCTTACTGAGTGGGCAGCTTCCCGAGAGGGTGATTGATCAGCAGCAGCTTTCTTTCGGAGAGCCCCAAATGCCAGTATCTGTAGGTTATCTTTCTGGGACCATTTGTTTCTCTAAGGAAACCCCATAAGCCCCCTGTGGGGGCAGGCAAGTATGGGATGAAGGAGGAGGATGGGTGGGTATACTAGGTCTCACTTCTAGAAACCAGACAGTGTGGTGGGTGAGGGAAGGAAGGTTCTTCTACTATACAGTATGTGGGTTAGCTCAGGTTTCAGCACAGAATTTTATCCCTACCCTCCATTGCTCCTGGACTCCCCTGAGATTCTCTGTCTTGGGTTCTCTAGACAATAGACCTCTGAGTGCTGTCCATCTTCAGAAATTTGCTGATACCTCTCTTCCTCTGCCATGTCTGCTCCCACTCTTTGTTCTTGATGACTTTATATCTACTTTTTCCCCTTTCCTGGCATTTTAGTGAGGCTCTAGGAGGAAGAAGAAATAAACATGGGTTCAATCTGTCACATTTTGCAGGGAGTCCTCGTGATGTGTTCTCAACACCTCTTGAACATCCATTCTCCTGTTTGACAGAGGGAGGGTCTCATGCGCCGAGCCTTTAGCAATCAGCAGCATCTCATGAGAACTTGGCAAATTTTGTTCTCATGGGATTTATACTTATCCTTTATTTAGAAAGTGATATTCTTTTTCTACTCATAAAATTTCATTCTCCGTAATTTAAGTAAAAAAATATAATTGATTTATAGAAAAATAGTAAGATGCTATATGGAGACGCTAAAATTTTGACACTG